TAAACGTGGCGTCTCGAAGAAGCCGCATTTAAATACGCACAGGTAAAAAAAAAACGTTTTCCAGATAGAAAAGTAGGTACCAAAACAATTATGAATTTTAGCATTCATTTTGCCAATAAATTAGACTATACGTAGTTACTATTATAACTATATTTTATATGTTATTTTAGCTTAAAAATGACAGCAAGGTTTCGCATATGCATTCTCTAACAGAGACAGATGGCATGGATCTTCAAATTCAGGTGTGTATACCCTTTTTTTTTAGAATTGCACCAGAGGCTGATATCATTTCTGGCAATTCTGATTAAAAATGCAGTAAGTTTACTTCATGACGTCGATAATAGTATTGTAGAGCAGTTTAACTCAATCATAGCTAAATTCATTGGGGGTAAACGGATTAATTATTGCAAGAAGAGATCCTACCAAGGAAGATGTGCTGCAGCCGTAGTGAGCCACAATACACAGCGACCTGTTTGTGTGATCCAAAAGCGGCTACTCCCTAGTTTCAGTCCAACCTCTTTGATTGCTAAAGTTGAAGAAAGGAGAGCGCACAAAAATCTGAAAAGGAAGCTGAAACCAAGGAAAATTAAAATCAGAGATAGTGATACTAAAGAGAACGCTTCCTATGGGGAATTCTGTGAGAAGCCTGACATGAGCAACGACGATATAGAGGCTGCCAAGGTAGAATTCTTGAAAAAACTTGCAAAAACCGACTCCAAAATTTCCCAGATCGAGCAAGCCACAAAATCTCAGGATTGCAATTTGTGGCGTCTTCATCGAAGAATGAGGTTGACTGCGTCTCGGTTTGGTGAGGTTTGTAGAAGAAGAGATACAACAAGTTGCAGAGCTCTAGTAAACGCCATAATATACCCAACCGAATTCTTTAGCAATGCATGTGACTATGGAAAAAAGCATGAAAGCGTGGCAAAATCAGAAATAGAGAAATCATATTCGCAATCAGAAGTACAATCTTGCGGGTTGTTTATTGATAGGACCCATCCATTTCTGGCAGCATCGCCAGATGGTTTGATAGGCGAAAAAGGTCTGCTAGAAATTAAATGTCCATGGTCTGCTAGAGAAATAGCCCCTGAAGAGGGCATTCTGAACAAAAAAATTACGTTTTGGATAAACGATGAAATAAATAAAAAGCATAAGTGGTATTACCAAATTCAAGGGCAGCTACACGTTGCACAAAGAGAGTACTGTGTGCTTGGTGTTTGGACCCCGTATGGTTTGAAAATAGACGTCATTCGAAAGGATGACGTTTTTTGGAAAAATGAAATGGAAGAGAAATTGAAATTCTTCTACATGAACTGCTTGCTCCCAGAACTGGTCGATCCCAGAAAAAGCAGAAATATGCCAATCCGCGATCCCATCTTGAAGGCACAAGAGAACCGTTTGAACAAGAAAAAGAGTTCTTGAGAATTGGCTATTTTTGCTGTACTCGGGTACCAAAATGGAAGAAATTAGCATATTACATTGTACGCCGTTACTAACCCCTTCGTGTCGCCAAATGCGGTGTGCAGATCTCGCTTTAGCAGCGATGTGCGAGATGTTATGCTAATCTTTTCCATTTTGGTACTAGTACCAGATGTTCACTATTTATTGTATATTATGTATATATTGTTTATTTAAATAAAAGTCAATCGTCAGGCTCAATAGCACGTAGCATCGGCTAGCTTTATCTAGTCTGTTAGATGGCGAATATTGAAATGTCACATTGACACGTTAAGCGCCACAGTAGAATCTGAAAATCCAGTCCACTGGGCCAAACTGTTATTATTGTCAAATTAGCTTGTTTTAAGTTTCGGTTTAATATTTTGACTTGACTTTTTTCTCAAATCCTATGATTTTTCCCCTTTTTTGATTTTTTTTTCTGAGGTACTAATTGTATGTCGCGTGGCCCACAGACCAGTCGGGTCGCGTGGCACATAAGTCGCGTCGCGTTTTTTGCAAGTCAAGACTTGCATCATGTCGCGCGTTGAGCACTGTTTCGTGTCATTTATTATTGAAGCGTTGTTGGTATTGTACGTCATCTTGTCCAAATTGCTTTACTGTTTATAAATTATTGAATACCAAATTTGAGATGTCGCATTACGAAGCGGAGCAAAAAAGGCTTGAACAATTGTGTAATGAAATACTATCGGATGAAGAGAGTGGCAGTACTGAGTTATGTGGGGATGTATACTTATCTGATGCGTATTCTCCAAGTGGTAGTAAATCAGATAGTAGTTGTAGTAATTCCATTATTATCTGTATTACTGTTTATTTATACCAGTATTTTGTTTATCCCTGCATAAGACTTTGTCAATCTGTTTAGTTTATAAGAGTTCCACCATATTTGTGTTCGTTAGAATATCGACATTTACCATAACTTACTGATTTGCTGTGAAATTACTTTGTTCATTTTTGAATGAGAATGTCTGATTATTTTATAAGATTTGCTTTTTGTTTTAGATTTGTAGAATATCCTCTTTTTGTAAAACTCTATAAACAACGTGTTTTTTAATGTTTTCATTTCCAATTCAGTATAATTTGGTCCCTCAGGCCACGGACTCTTGGTTCCCGTAAGAAAATCACATCAGCATGGCACACGTCTTACGTTACGCGGCCAAATATAACTGCCAGCAGTGAGACATATCATGTGTGTCACGAGGCCCAAAGCGCCAAATGAGGTGCGACACACGCATTATATCTCATGACGCTTATCGTGTTAAGTTTATTCTACGATACTCCATAAGGTTAAAGCTAAACAGCAAGTGACATTTTATTTGTGGTAAATGCGTTCACTATATTATTTTTAACTAAAAAGATTACCGCCTCCAATGACCCTGGAACCACCTGGAAACTTTTGGTCACAAAGCTCTGTATTTGATATGTAAATTGGGGGTTTTGTACAAAAGTATGTAACTCGCAATTTCGAAACGGCGGCAATCTTGGAATCAAATTTTTAGTGAAGTACTGTATTCTACAAGGCGACGACTCTTATTTGAGATATTAGCAAGTATGTTATCCGCCATTTTGTAACGGCCGCCATCTTGATTTGAAACTGTTTTCGTATTACTGTTTTGTACAAGTGCTTCCATTTGATATCCATATTGGAGTGATTGAACAAAAATGATTTTTTGTGGTATCACCTCTGAAGCATGGCCTATTGTATAAAAAGAAATGATCAAAATCGATTAAAAATTTCCCCTCTTTCATTGAAGTCTATTAAAAATATCACTTAGTGGTCCGATGTTTATCTCGAACGACCGACGTTAAAACTGCTACTGTTTAACTTGGGACAACAAATTATCTGAATACGTCCTTTCTTAGTCCTTACACACCGCCGCGTTGCTTCGACTGGCAGCACGAGATAGTGTATAAAATTCGTGTAAAAGCCTATTTGCAGAGGTTTTCGCGCTTCAAAATTGACGCTTCATTTTTGAATATTTTTCAATGAAATTTTCACAGTGCACTAAAAACAAGACTCCACAGGGTGCTATAGAGCCACTTTTTCGTTTTTTCCTCTGGGTTATTTTTAAAAAAATCGAGAAGTCGAACAACAATTATCTGCACTTCCACCCACCATAACTCCTGAAAAAATTTTTTTTTTAGAAAAGTGGCTCTATAGCACCCTGGACAATTGTCTTCTGAACATACTGTATAAATTTTATTCAAATATATAGAAAAATGGAGCGTCAATTCCGAAGCAGCTAAACCCTTGTAAATGGCCTGAAACTCACTGCGTCGGAGCCGCCTTAACAGTTACTAAACAACAGTTGTATAAGTGCTTCCGTTGGGAGCAATTTGTTGGCTAAAGTAGTAAATTGCACAGCAAAACAACAAGGCTCGAATTTGTTTTATAAACGTTACCATGGATGCCACAACACAACCATTTTGACTAACGTGCAAATATGCCGTATAAAATAGTTGTATAAACGTTTATGCAACAGTTAAAAATTTGCCCTATAAGATGTTGTATAATTATGCTATAAGAATATCTTAAACACCTCATTTTAGAGCAAGTATGTTGCAGAAAGCAAATTTGCATTCCACACAACATTAAGCCAGCATTTTCGTGTTCAGGCAACAACAATAGAGAGCTTTTATGGCTGAACGGTTCTTTTACCAAAAGCTTATACCACTACTTTGCTGGTTGGGTTATTCCTCTATTTAATATTAAATAATTATGTTTCAGTTCGAAATTACAGATATAAAGTGATAAACATTAGTGTAATGGTGTCTAAATATAGGATTTGTGGAGGATTTCATGCAGATAAGTTCAGTTTTCCATCTTAAAAATCTAGACATACTTTTGATCATTATCAAAATATGCATGAAATAAGAGCCCGTAGAACTTGCGTAACTACTTTGCACGATAATCACAATAACATTTGCTGCGCAAGTACTTCAATAGCCCTATATCACAGTGTAGAAGTTTATCATATACCTGTGTATGAAATTCACAATGGCCGATATGTAAGTAAACAAGATGACTGTAATGTGTTATATATTCTTCACTTCGTCTATGAAATACATAAGAAATAGTTTGGTTGCAATAAAGTAGAATCACGTAACAGAATAGTTGTATAGTTGACAAAAACTGAATCGTGCACTGACGCAAATGTCCTATAGTGGCTGCAAGGGGCTTACACTTTTGTTGTATAAATGTTACGTGCAGCCCTTGTACAACCTCTTGAATGACCGAAGTGTCCTATTAGGTGTGCCCATTCCGCTTGTATAGCTGTTCTAAGAGGGTTTTGCCAATGTTCTTACAGTATACAATGCTGTGTAAGGAATACTGTATAATCATTTTTGCAACTCTAATAGGAGTGATAATTGTTAGTTGGGAAGGTACCCTTCATGTATATGTATACGAGTATTAGCGCCCTTTGGAAAACGCCCACCCTCTGTCAATGGTCGATCGCATTTCGTAGTTTCATGCGAGGTGACGCGGATTTTCCGGCAATGGTCAGCCTAGTGGGAGTTTCCCAACAGTCGCGCGCTGAAAACACCGCGACGCGGCGGGAAGTATGCGACGAATCGCAGTCGCGCACGCACGAAAATCGGATCGAGTGGTGCCGCCGGTCGGCGAGCCGGCATGATTGAGTTCAACCTTCAACAAGGTGCTGGTGCCGAGGAGAGATTTGAGGGGTTTGAAGATGGCGAGGGGAAAGTGTCGTTGACGCAGCTGTGGGAGGTTGTGGTGAGGACCAAACGTCTTCCAGGTTGGTTTAAAATCATGAAGCTATACTTCCTCTTCCCTGAAACTGGAAGAAATGTTGGATTTAGAAGAAGTTTGCCGAATTTTAAAGAGAACTGCAATGCATGGTTGAAGCTCCTGAAAATTTTAAATAAAAAAGAGGTTTTTTGAAGACCGTCCATGTTCTAATCCTTATTGAAACTGCATATGGAGCAAACGACGTATTGGCGAACGATCTTGTATTGTGACATTGTCATGTTTGTTCGCGATTTTAAGAGCCTGCATGTCCCAGAAACGATAATATACAATATCGTATTCCCATATCCTCCGTAATTTGAACTTTTTAAATAGGAAGCACGTAAATGAATATACTCGTATTGTCCTAATTTGTTGAAGCTTGAAACTTAAACGATTAAAGACATGATTTGAAATGGAAACGTCTTATTAATTACAACCGAATTTACGTTATATGTCCAGAGCTAGAAGGCCTAAAAAAATAGGATAATGCGGTTAATAAAATTTTAGACATAGCAGATTTGAGTATTATTTCTCATGAAAAGGAGAATTTATCCTTAACATTAAATATCACAAAAAAGAATTCCTATTTTTCACTATCAGAAATACTTTATCATTTTCTTCAGTCTGTGTCTAGACATATGTATATAACAGTTTACCAATGACTTAATTCGTTGCAGGATTAATATTAGGCTCTACAATGCGCCCAACGTCTTGTTTGATCACCCCAGATTCTGGATGAGGATGAGTTCATTATAATTTCCTTTCTTTTTGGTAATGCAGAAACGTTTTATTCAATCGAATATTTATCTATACTATAGTGTATTTACACCCAAGATAGAATGGATGCGTGATTGCCAAAAGCAAGGACGGCGTACAGGGCTGCATTCAGGGCTACCTCGAATGATGGACTACCACCAACGTGTTGTAAAACAAAGATGACAGTATTTAACGAAATTATCTAATATAGTGAAGTAGTTATAGATAAGGGTGTCGCAAAATCAAATATTTATTCTTGAAGGGGTGCTAAGTTTTTCTACAGATTTTTCAAACTAGACAACATGGAGAAATACCTACCAGAAGTACCCAGCTGCTCACTATGCACAATGAATCCGTAGTCAACGAGGGGTAGAGATGGCACTTTTGTACATGGAATAAATATAAGGCTGTTTAATCAATTGAAAATAGATTTTGCAGGTGCACTTCGGACTTGCATTGTCTGTAGTTTATCCGTAAGTTAATATTTCACTATAACTAGGATTCCCATAATATGTATTCTGTGACAAAACAAAAACGCGAAACTTACTCAGACTCACTTGAAGAGCTATGGTCATTAATGTTTATGATGATGGATTCAAAATCGCTCTCTATTATGTTGTCCAGCTCCCACATTGCTACCTCCACTTTCTCCTGAACATGCTGCACACATTTTTGCCATCTTTCTGGTGTAACCCTCTGTATAGCAATTCTGAACAGCTCCTGCATGTCAGAAAATTTAAATGTTATATTGTGTGCAGCAACAAAATTCTTAACATCTGCCCATATGAGCTCAATGGGGTTGAGCTCACAGTGGTAAGGCGGCAAACGGAGTACTGTTTTGTGGTGTGCTTTGGCCATTTCATCTATGACATATTTATCATGTCTTGGTCTGTGTTGTTTCACAATATCTAATAGTTGTAATTTCAGTACGGAAGGGTCGAAAGTTATATGTTTGGAACGGAGCCAGCTCTGAATGTCTGATTTCATAGAAGCTGAAGTTGGAATTTTTTCTATTTTGCGAGAATGATAGGGAGCATTATCCAAAACAACCACAGAATTGTCTTCGAGACGTGGTAAAATGCCTGAAAACCACTTCTCGAATGCTTTTCCATTCATCTCTTCATGGTAGTCAATGTTTTTTTTTTGACTCAAAAGACCATAAGCCGTCATCCACGAAGCCATCTACACCTCCAATGTGGCAAATAATGATCCTTTTTCCTTTGCCTAGAAAGATAAAATCCACTAAGTACACATGCACGTCTTGTAGAGAGATATTGTGCGCAAAAATTGATACCGTGAACTACTTCGATCTATTTACCTGCTGGATTTTTCAATCCGGTCGATAGTCCATCTAGAAATGCCCTTCTGGATGGAGTCACAGTTTTGTCAACCCATACCTTCGGAGTAGTGTGCCCAGCGTTAATCCAGGTTTCGTCCAGGTAATAGATCTTCCTGTGCTGATCCCTGAATCATTTAATTTTGGTCAGGTACTCTCTCCTCCACAGAACAATTTCTTCTCTATCCATAAGTAAGCTGTTACGACCTCGTTTCTTCCATTCGAAATCAAGATGCTTCAAAAGTTTATGAATAGTCGAACGTTTAAAAATTGGTAACATAGCATCCTTGTTAACCTCTCGTAGTACTTTCTCAACTGTCGCTATTTCGTTTCTGAAGAAAACCTCGTGCACTTTCGTCCGAATCGCATGCTTGTCAGCGTCATCGAACGATCTTGTGATACTTTTGCGATTTTTACCCGTCATTAGCTTGGAAAATGCATGCTTTCTCTTATGTTCGTCCAAAACATTGTACACTGTCGCTTGGCATATCCCAATTTTATCTGCCACTTTCAAAGCTATTTTCGGGTTAGTTGATGTTTCGTCTTCCTTCCGCTCTATCTTGAATGTATTCAATATGACGTCTTTCATGTCTACGTTAAGATGTCTTTTTCTTAATCGCTTTCTAGGTGGGCTAAGGGAGTAGCAGTATCTGTACTGGACATGTTCAGGATTTCAAAACAAATAATAACGAGGAATAACAATAACAAACAGAAACTTAACAAATTACTCAAATACACTTAACAACAACAACAGCAACAACCAAGCAAGGTGAATACGAAAACACGAGCACGCAGTGATACACGCGACGGTCGGTGGCCTGAATGCAACTCTGCCTGCCCTGCCCCTGCCCCGCGCATTATTCCGCCAGGCGACCGCTTGAAATTTAATGGCGAATTGACCAATAAGAGGCGTTGACCCCACCTGTTACCGAGAGATCACGCGCTAACTGTTACCTATTATTTACATCTCATCTTGAATTTGGAGTCAGTTTAAATAATGAATTATTTTTGTTTTTTTATGTGTGTATATGTTGGGAAACAAAACGCTTAAAAAAACAAAGAGATGTGTTTTATTTAACCATATTATATGATGTGTTTTTAACTAAAACAATTAACTTTTATATATTTCTCTTTTCATCAATCAATATGAGTGCAAAATTAGTATCAATTTTTTTCTAGAGCCCTTAGGAAGAAAATATTTTTTCCAAATCGCCGGCAACTGCTATTATAAAACACAAGCCTGTGACCTTAGTCCAATTAACTGCAAGGAATTGTGAGCAAATAATGATCACTAAAAGACTAATAATCATTTGCACCGATGAGCGGTTAGTGATCTGACCCGTTTCAAAAATATAGGGATAACTTTTCGTCAAAATGAGTTTCACATCTCATAGTCTTTCATCATTTAGACGTTTCTCAAATTTTATTATCTATGCAGAAGGAGGCAAAAATATATTTTTTCCAGGAAATTCAAATGGAATTCCCGTATATTTTTCCGGTTCTAGAAATCATCTTTGGTATGAAATTTTTAGGAAATTGTATTACTAAATTTTGGAGTTTTTTGCATTCCCCCAAAAAACGCAATTCATAAGCACCCTGTATTTGTGATGCGCAGTATTTATTATATATTTGAAGGTCGAGAACTTGTAGGATATGAAGTTCACTTTGATGGAAAGTTTGCTTCTCCATCCACAAATGTATCACACCTACAAGCTGTCAAAGTTGAATGCTTTCTCATAAAAAGTATCCCGTACCTCTAGAAGTGACAATAAGTCGTTCGAAAAGGACTTTTAGAATATACTAATAATATACAAGATACTCCATTTAAGAAATACATGTTTGTGTTGCCACGTAGTTATACATCATACTATAGCAAACATCGTATTTTCCAATTAAGGAGTCGCACATTTGCTTCTAATTTCTGTTTGAAACACTTCTACATATCCTTTACGAATATAAATAACAAAGCTAACAAACGGTTACACTTTGAAAACTCAACCTGTATGTATAGCCTTGAGCAGTCTCAGTGCATAATCTTTGCCTCCATGTCATGTCTACTCTAACACAAAGTAATGGCGTCAAGAAGGTTGACTCTGCACTTTCCTCGCAACACTCATCAGTTCGTAAGGGATTATTTTCGGGACAAGTTAAGCCTGTCAAGTCAACCAACCAGGCCCATATACAGTTCGTACATCCTCCATAGCCGCCATTCATTTGATAATGCTAACGCCAATTTCCTCCCTGCCCTAAGCATCGAGCAACATTGCTGGACCACTATAGTCAAACACATACTACTACTAAAAAAGCGTGCCGGCGATGCTGCCAGACGCAAGGCATGGTTCGCTATATGAAAGTCGCCGTTGCTTCGAATGGTCTCGACAGATTGCGTGTATTTCCCCAAGGAATGCCTGATGTGTAAAATATGTACATATTTAGGTACTTAAAATTACTGGGCTTGGAAGCGTATAAATATACTGCAGGCAACAAAATGAGATATACCTTCCCATTTTCACAACCCCCAACCCCTAGGTTTCAAACCCTCCAATTTTTTTTAAAATGATCAGGAGTCTGACATGTCAAAAAACGAAGTTTGATCAATTTTTTTTCATCCTTTTGCCCCTAGCATCCTAGCTACTGGACCGATTTTCAAAAGCAACACACCTTTTTGGTCGTTGGCAGAAGTGGCAGTAAATTTTGTGAAAATTTCAACCAAATCTAAGCGGTACTTCTCAAGTTAGAGCCTGTTATATAATTGGCGGACACACCAACTGGCGGAAATGAAAGATAAAGCGGAGAGAAAAGGGGTAGGTACACAGGAGCACCAGTATCCTCAAAAGAAAATTCTTCTATAGCCAGGCATCCCACAACTACGTTGAGCTGGCCCCTTGCTTCTAGCTGCCTGAGGCTCAGTATGT